TTCTAGCGAGGGGGTCAGACCGGATGCGGCAAAGGTGGAGGCTATCACACGAATGGCGGTGCCACGGGACGTTAAAGGGATTCGTAGGCTTCTCGGGACGCTGAATTATTATAGGAGGTTCGTACCTGAGATGGCAGAATACTTGGTACCTATCAATAACTTGCTGAAGAAAGGCGCGAGGATCGTGGTGACACCGGAAATGGAAAATAATATTAGGAAATGCATGGATAGGTTGCAGGCAGAACCCGTATTGGCGTTCCCGGATTTTGAGAAGCAGTTCAACGTCACCACCGATGCGAGCGAATACGCGTTGGGGGCCGTTTTATCTCAGGGCAGAAGTGAGGGCGAACGTCCGATAGCATACGCGAGCCGACGACTTACGAGCGCGGAATCACGGTACAGCGCGTTAGAGAGGGAGCTACTCGCGATAGTGTGGGCCATCGACCATTTCAGGCCGTATATATTTGGGAGGAAGTTTCGAGTCCACACCGATCACAAACCCCTTCAGTGGGTAGGAAAACTTAAGGAAACCTCTGCGAGGGTCACGAGATGGAAAGAATTCCTTAGTCAGTACAACATGGAGGTGGTGTATAAGCCGGGAAAGGAAAACGTGGTGGCAGACTGGCTCTCTAGGGCCATCATGATCAACGCGGTAGAAGAGGACGGAGGAGGTCCATCGCGGGACGTGCGCCAATTCTTGAGGGAATGGACTCCCGAGGGTGAAGGGGCAGATGATACCGTCAGTATAGAGGACAGGGAGGGGTCCCCGGAAGAAGATAGCTCAGCGGAGGAAAGACCAGAGGCGATGGAGGAAATAGACGAAATCATCTACGACAAGCATAGACAGGTAATCTGGAAAACCAGGACAACAGGGATCATGAAAATAGATTACCGAAGATACGGGAAAAGTAGGATTCGCGTCATTTGGTCGCAACCCGGGGTGAGCGAGGAGCAAATCCGTACGGCACTGAAGGACGCCACGGAGCCGGGAAAGACACACCATCTCTATGTTGGGAACAACACGGTATGGGAGAAAATAAAGCGGATGTGGAGATCCGAGCGGATAGGCATGGATAGAACGATCATCCGGTGCAAGTATGCAGTGGAAACCGTACAGGATGAGGAGCAGCAACAAGCAATTACATTGGCATACCACCAGGGGAAGACCAACCACCGAGGCGTCAACGAGACGTTGCAGGCATTACGGCGAAAGTATTTCTGGTGGGGAATGAAAAAATCTATCCAAGGAATCATCGGGAAATGCGAGGTATGTATGCGCACAAAGTATGATCGACACCCCCCCAGAGGAGTTCAGGAAGAGACACCTACAGGGAATATGCCGCTACAAGACCTCCAGATCGATACATTCACCTGGAAAGGGTTCAAGTGGGTCACGGTCATCGACACCTTTAGTAAAGTAGCTATGGCACATCAGGTCATGGACAAGTCTGCCAATGCAGTTGCGGAAGCCCTACAAATCTGGATACAGTTTTACGGAGTTCCCGAGAGGATCACATCAGACGGTGGTAGAGAATTCGACAATACCGCGATTAGGGAGGAGGTGAAAAGGTTAGAGGTTGTGTGGCATTATAACACACCGGGACACCCTAAGAGTAGAGGAGGAATCGAACGCTTGCACAGCACGTTGAGTGACCACATCCGTGTATATCAGGGAGAGAAAGGGTTGGAGCCGGATGTTGCGATGAAGAAAGCCGTAACAGCTTACAACCATTCGATCCACTCCGTAACGGGGTTTTCACCTGTGGAAATACTATTCGGGATGCGCAGGCCAAGGAGAGATTGGGGGGAAACAACGACCAATGAACATCTCGTAGAGCAAATCCAGAATACTAGGGTAGAGGTAGGAAAGACGTGGGGGAAGGTAGCGGGGAGAATTCAGCGGGAAAAGGAGAAGCGGGTAGCGCGGCAGAATGTGCAGGTACGTGACCGAATGGGAGAATTAAAAATCGGAACAATAGTGTATCGTAGAATTGGAACCAACAGAGGGAAACAATTGTTACGGTACGAGGGCCCATTCAGAGTGATTGCTATTAGGGAGCATAATCTGGTAACCATTGAAAGCATTAACGAACCTAAGAAGAGGAGAACTGTTCATATTGAACAATTGAAGCTCCCAATGTTAGAACCGGTACAGAAACCAATTGATTCGTAGTACCCTTATCGCGTATTGTAAAAAAAAAAAAATATATGTTTTTTTATTATTATTACTGTTGATGATGTCATTTTTTTTTATTATTTTTGTTGTTCTTGTAAATAAAGATATGCCAGCATAATAGAGGTGATTGTAATTTTTATAGGATTAAGAGTTCTGTTCCATTGTTAATAAGACGTTGTGTGTTTACTTTCTGTGGTTTATTTCTTTTTATTTATTTATTTCTCGTTCCAGCGGAGTGGAAGTGAGGTTTGGTGTACTTTAAGTTTATACTGGTACAAATAATTGTAAAGGGTTAAGGCTGATACCGGTGGCTCCGATCTGGGAATTTATAAGTTTCCGAAAATCCTATTCGTAAACTGGTGGGGGGGAGATAAAGACCGGAGACTGGCGATATCAGCCTTAATACCATCTTGTAATGTAAATAAACATAGCGATTGTATATAAGGCAGATTATTGGACGAATAAAGCAGTGTTTATTCAGAAGCCGTGAGTATTGTTTCTCGTTCCTCTTTCCTTCTTTTTTTTTATTTTTAAAGCCCGGAGACGCTTAACTTATATATATATATATATATATATTATATATATATTAACCTTAAATATATTAACTGTAGTTTAATAATTCTAGATCTGATATTATATTTAAATAATTAGACATAAACGTCCATTTATTCCGAAAAATCGTCATGAAACATTTTAGAAAATTAAATTAGTGAATTGGCGTGGGGAAGTGGCGACCCCATCGTCCAGTCGTTAGACTGCAGTCAGCCACTGGCCCTCTAGATTGGGGGAATCTACACCTAAACTGACACACACACACACACACAGTACTCTAAACTACCGCACACTTCACACACTCTTACACTACAGACAAAGGTCAATTACGCACCCCGGGGTCACCTCCCCTAGGTAGCCGCACCGGATAGGGAAGCTTGTCAGGGCGCCCCCTCCACCTGACTCGGGGGCAGCGAGCTGATACCTCACTCTCCTTAAATCAACCAAACCATGAACCCTCAAAGATAAATAGCCGGACAGATCAATGGTAAACAAAATAGGTCTCGCTAAAAGGACTTAACAATAGGACAATGGAATATTTTGTATATTTTACCCTGTATAGACTGGGGTTACTTCGGCAACTTCTACAACAAGTTGACAATTACAACCTCGACTTAGTCGCTCTGCAGGAGGTGAGGTGGAAAGGAAGTGGAGTTCAGGAAAAACGGTTCCACATCATATACTATAGTGGCCACGTGCATCTGCATGTCTCTGGAACGAGCTTTATAGTAAGGGAAAGAGGCAGGAATCTGGTAATAAATTTCATCCCTGTAAGTCCCAGGATTTGCGTTTGAAAAGCAGATTTCAAAACTATACATTTCTCAGCTGCTATGCACCCACGGAAGTGTCTCCTGATGATGAGAAGGAGGCATTCTACGATCAGTTAGACAGTTGCCCGAAAATTGATGTAAAGATCATCATGGGAGACTTTATTGCAAAGGTTGGCAAGGAACTAGTCTTCAAACCAACTATTGGAAAGCACAGTCCCTTCCGCACTGGCGAAAGCATCCATAAAGGAACTGTCCTGATGGAAGTATTGTGAACCAAATAGATCACAGCCTGGTCAGTAAGAGGCACAGATCTAATCTTATAAGTTGCAGATGTTACCGAAGAGCCATACATATTTCCATATTTTACATATTACATATAAATATTTAGGAGGGCGAACAGTACTTTTCCTCCCTCCCTCAATCATATCGCCTTTCTTTTTTTGGTCAAGTTCACTCCGATCTTCACTGCCAGATGGTAATGAGAGTAATTCAAACTAGACTTACGTTTCCTTACCAGAATTACTTACTATATTTATTTGTTTGCTGAGATACATGTTTTCGCTTATAAATCCACATGGACAAGACAGAGCCACACCGATTTTCTCGAGTATATATTCCTAATTTATATACATGACTTGGTAAAGCATTAGTTCAACTAAAGTAGTTCAATCATGAACGTTAACATAATTTGAACCAATAACAGGGGATTTAATATGTGAAGACTACTGGAGGAATTTCCAGCTGGAAGTGTAATGCCATAGGACCCGGGCGGGTCTACGGAGGGAGAGGGGGCTTTCGGGCTGAAGCCCTCCCCCGCCCACAAAATGGAAAAATATAATCATGTTTTATAGAAAAAAATATTAAAAACTATCTCTTAAAGTATTCGTGTTCGTTTAATTGCATTTAATAGGACTTCAAGAACCACTTAAACACCATTTCATATAGGTAGTTAATTTCTTTTTTTTTTTTTTAAATTAATTATTAGTATATGTATATGAAAAAAAAAAAATCTTTCGGGCTGAAGCCCTCCCCCAAAATTAAATTCAAATCCGCTAGTGCCATAAGTTCCACATTTTGCATCGTTTTATTAAGCCTCCACCATTGGGTAGTTACTCAGCAAGTGTTTTTCATGTCATATACATTATGTTCTAATTTACTAGATGTATTTATTTAATACAGTTGTAAATGTCTTTAAGAAATAAATAAATAAAAAAAAATTTAGAAAAAAATAAAAAATTATTAAGCCTAATGAGTTTTAGTAATAATAGAGACTTCATTCGTTTTAAATATTCCACGAGTGTTGTGTGAATACCTTGATGAGTAATTTTGTACTGTTGGTGGTGAAAATTAGTTTAATTAACAGTAAATTGTTTTATTTCTCCGCCTCTCATTGTTTTTTATCATTCATACTATTTATATAACAACGTATATACATAATATAATACATCAGTGTCTTGAATAATTACTTGTAATGAATAAAAAAATTGAGCATTTTTATTTTCTTATTTACTATTTTGAACACCTCTTCCGACTTTAGCAGAAAAATGATTTCCCATTCCTGGAAACAAAAATAACCAAATAGTTATATGTAGTTGAAATAACAAAATAAACGATAGTTCTAAATGAAAATTTGTGACTTACGGAACCATTTCGTAGCAGCACCAATTTCCCCCATGGCAACAATGTCGGGGAAGGTAGCAGCAGGTTGGAATGGAGCACCTAACTTTGGTGGGATTCGGCCATACCGGTTTAAAAATCTGTTGGACATCTGAAACGAAATGATTTTATTTAACCGTATTTATATTAACCTTTTACATGCTATTGTTCCATAAGTGGAACATATACTAAACAACTTGTTTGGCCAACTAAATCATTATTTTTTGCAACAACATTTTTTCCATTAAAACAAAGGTTGAAATAATTTTTTTAATGAAGTTTTTATCACTTTCAGTTCCGTTAATAAAAAGTTAAAGTTTCTGATTTTTTAGAGTCGAGAGATGTATTGATTATTATTTTTTTTTTTTAATACTACAGCAATGAAATTTAATTTGAATATTGATCTAATTCATTGTAGATCATTCATGATAGATTACTAAAAAACAGCCTATGATTCTGTGGACAGAACCTGTCATGTAATCATCATGTAACCTTTTAGAAAATTAAATTCCAACGGAATCCACTTACAATTAGTGTGATAACTTTTGACCTATCTATGACAGACAATGTAAATCTCCTAATTCCGTTTTAATAAACTTTGCAATGGAAAATAACAGTTTAATAACTAATTGTCGTATAATCCATAATCAACGTTTCGAACAATCCATAATCAACGAATCGTACAATCCATAATCAACCGGTGATATAATAGGATTTTTGTTATTTTAATAGTTTTTATGATTTGTTAGCTGCAATCTTATAGCTTTAGCTCAGTTAAAAATGCAATTAAAAACATTTTATAATAACCCAACATGGCCAGAAAATAATTTCTATTCAAAGTTGAGCTAAGTTCAAACAGTAAGTGAAAGTTGTGTGTTGCGCGCACCAGATTTTTTAATTACAAAATGATCTTTAATGCTTGATAGCTGTACGGTTGATTTCCTCAATTTTTTACTTTCACTTACCGATATATGCAATACGTAGTAAGCGTAAGTATTACGATCGTGAAAATTTTCAGTTTTAACAGAAATACATGTTTTTATGTCTCCTGAATCCAAATAACCAACCCGCAAAATGGTGTGTGTGTGCATGTGTGATCAGTCTTGCCAAAAAACTAAGAGTCGGATGAAAGTGAAATTGCATATTTAAGGTTTTTATAAGCCTTCGAGGTTACAGCAACATTTTCATCAAAATCGGTAAATCGGAAGTGGTACTTATATAATCGATTTAACACATTTTTACGGTTTTTCAAAAATGGCTCTAACGATTTTGAATAAACTCAGTGTATCAGTGTTTTATTAAGCAGTTTTTAATATAATGTAGGATTTATTCTGATTGATGTAATCTAATAGGGCTTAAATGCCTAATTTTCAATATTAGCTTAATTAAAGTACCTTAAATTTTCTTTTATTTGAAACAATTGACCGTTTCATATTAACTTCTAATATAAAAGATAGTTAAATATAAAATATGAAAGAATTTGTTAATTAACTAAAGGAGAAATAAGAGATCGTAACGAATAATAGTTGTAATAGAGAAATCAAAGGAATGCAAGCGCGTCCGAGCTCACCCGAGCTCCCACAAAAAATAATAATTACAACAGGCTTGTATGCCTGTTGTAAAATTGTAATTACAACAGGCTTCCATATGTAACATCAGCTTAAAATAACACGGACTCCGACAATATTATGTATATATGTATATCTACATTTATCTTGTATATATGTATATATACATATATATTTATGTGGTTTTCATAAATGCTATCTGTGATATTATTTAATATTTAATTGTATAGAATGCAGTGCTATACAAATTAAAATTTGTATATATAAGGATATTTAAACAAATAAAAATACCCTCAATGAAAGATAAATAAATATAGCGTCTATAATTTTTACTTTCACTTCCCCTTTGTTTGAAAATACTTTTTTCTGCCAAGAAGAGTATGTAAGTGAAAGCCCTGTGATGCGCGCACCAGATTTTCCGATATGAACTGGTTAATTCATTTGAGGCAGTTTCTTAGCCTACTAATGTGAGCAGCGATTTCACATAGTACACTCAAAGATGGAAAAAGTCTGATAAGTATGTCCATGGAATTTCTGAAATCAGAATATATTACACTTCATATTCTATAATTTCAAACTTGGTTTAACTCTTGTGGAAGGTTGGAGATTGAACTCTCATTGAAAAGATTGAGCTTTGGTGTGTAGGTCTGAGAAAAATATGGAAGAAATATCATTGTATTTTATTCAAGTGTAAACATTAGTTTGATACTAAATAACTCAAAACTAAGAGCCGAATTACCGAAGAACTTAGTTCACAACTAAAAAAATATTCCCAAGAACAAAGACGACAAAAAAAACAGCCAGAATAAAAAAAACAGTGTTTAATAAATTGTCTATCTTTCCATTTTGGCTATTTAAGATTATGAGATAATGGTTATCCTGTTGCTCCCAGCACAGCTAGATAACATTAAATATGTAAACCTTAATAAATAAGAACAAGTTAATGTTGTCCAGATGTTATAAACTATTATTCATTCATTATGAAAAAAACTAATCAGGGATTATGCACCTATCCTAGAGCAGCTTAGAAGAAAATAATAAACTCAATCATAATAGACAAATGAATTTAGAAGGTATAATTCGGGGATAATCAAAACAATTAACATTTTTTAGATGTTTAATCAATCTTTTATTTTACCTTGTCTCGTTCCACACAAGATCTGGATGCCATCCGTCCACTTGTATTTCTACATACTAAGACTGGAGGCCCATCATTCCGTTAGTATTTCTTCCTCCCTCCATGTCTGGAGACTCATCTCTCCATTTGTGGTGTCCATACTGTGATGTATCAACGCTCATCTCTTAGCTCAGGACTAAGAGTGATTTGGATGCTCATCAGCCTGATACTTTAGTTCATCCGTTCTTAGCCTCTTCCTCATCCACCGCAGGCAAATCTGCGGGAGGAGCTTTCGGGCTGAAGCCCTCTTCCAAAATGGTAAAATATAACCATATTTTACGGAAAAAATATTAAAAACTATCACTTAAAGTATTCTTGTTTGTGTAATTACATTTAATATGACTTCAAGAACCACTTAAACACCATTTCTTATAGGTAATTAATTTCATTCTTTTTTTCAAATTAACTATCGTTATACTTATATGAAAAAAAAAGCTTTCAGACTGAAGCTTCTTCCCCTCCCCTGTGGGAAATGGAATCCTGGATCCGCTAGTGCGATCCACTGAATCATATTTCTAATTGAACACGCTGTATCGGGGCCTCCTATGTTCACTCTTTAATACCTAGCTCGAAAATTTATAGGAGGACTCTGTATTGCAAAATATAAATTCACCAGTCAGCATCTTTATTCCAATGGGAGTAAGTATATTCTGAAGGATGTGGCATTTTTCATAAATATTGGGCCTTGAGAACCCAAAATAAATTCCTCTATGAAAAGGAGGCCTGAAAGACCAAAGATGCTAAGTCAATACAGAGCATATAAGCGGGAAACACACTACCAAGGCAACTGGAAGAGGTTGATTTTGGAGGCCATGATTCATTAATGCATTGCAGCTCCTAGTAAGAAGAAAAAAAAGAAGTTCAAAAACTAAAAGTTTACATCATCTCCTGAATAAAAAATTAAACAAAAAATGGAATACTAGTTTTTATTTTTTTTTATTTGAAGTGCAAACATGATTCTCACTCAAGAAAGACATTTTAAACATATTCATGCCTTATAGAGAAGAATCCAAACTAACCTGAAATTGTTTCCCTTTTTTTTCACATATTCAAGCTGTTTAATGAATTACTATAATATTTCTTTGTCTAATATAGAAAAAATATCTTCTTTATTTAATCTTAATAAAGAAGATTTATTTAGATGATACATTTAAATAACAATACATCTTGCAATATATTATACAACTTACTGTCTTGATTGTATATATCTGGCCATCTCATGAGTGTGTTATTGGTCAAGCTCTGCTCACTTAAGTACTCTAAAGAACTGTTTGTGCCAGCGAAGGTAATTCCTATTGTTGCCATTAACAACAATACTGTAAAATACACCATGTTGCAGTATTGCATGTCCCTTTCAACTTTAATCATTTAGTCGTTTTCAACAATTTTATAATATTGATAACTAATCTATCTTCTCTAATACATCATCTTCAAATTAAAAAAAAAGAAAACAAGAAACTAAACAAAATTCCATTTTAAGTGCTTATTTTTATCTGTGAAAATCATGTTACATCTTTTTATAATAGAGGTTAGGCATAGTTAAAATCATTTCATTAAGAATCTCTAATCTACTAAGAACAAATTAATTCACTGAAAAATGATAAGCAGATCAATAATGGCTTTAAAAACTACTAGAATTTTTTTTCAATGAAATTCAGGTTTTCACATTAAAACATCAGATTTAATGTATGAATGTTATGACCTATGCTGGGTCTTAAAACTATGTCCGTGAAACTTTCTTTAATTACATGATAAAATATTAAAAACTATTAAGCAAATATGAAATTTATCAAATTACTCACACTAGAGGTTACTAAAACAATTACTGTATGGCTTTTTTCTCTTATAAAGCTCATTCCACTATTCAAGAGCCATTTTTTTTTTCATCTCAAAACATGGCCCGCAGGACTTAGTGGATCCCAAAACGTTTGACATACTAAAATATGTGATTCTTTATTCAAGAGATTTTTTAAATTTTCAGTTTTTCAATTTTTAGTTATTTAAAAAATAAACCCAGTAATTTTAGACATGCCAAAATCCTAATATATTAATCAAAATGAATATTAAATTTGTAATCACAAAAATTTATTTTTGATCTTGCTATCCCGATAATTCTGATGTAAATATTATAAAAGATTACATTCAAAAACCAAAAATACTGTATATATAAAATAAATCAAAATTCTTTATCAAATGAATATTGGTGTAACATGAAAGATAATTGTGAACAGTACAACATAAATATAATTCTATAATAGTAAAAACATTAATTCTTCACAATTAAAAACAACAATTATTTATTGAATAACAATATGATTTTTCATCTTCCACACTTAAGGGTACAAAGTATCGATTATAATATGGCCTGTAAACATACATACATACAAATAAATGATATAATAAAATAAAAACCTGTACCACTACAACCCGTGAAGAGTCATGGGTTTATTACTGTTTAGGGAAAGTACTGTTTCTTGGTCAGCGGTTGTGTAAATAGGTAATTTGACCAAGGTAACTTTCAATCACCAGGTTTTCCTCCTTAATCAATTATCTAACTAAGGTCACCCACTAATATCTAACCCACCAACCAGGAGGGTCCCAACCCCAGGAAGGATCCCAGCCGATGAAACAGAATAAATAATTTATCTGCTATAAGCCAGAACTTGAACATGGGACCTTGAGCAGTGGGAGATCAGCACGTTAACACTGAGCTACCCCACAACCCTAGTAATAAATAATATATAATAATAAAATAAATTTCAATAGATTTATTTTTATTAGTGCAGAATAAGAGAAAAATATTGACTATTACATTAAATATATACACAAAAAGCAAAGTTTTGTTGTGAAGAAGCAAGTTAGATTCATTTTCTGTATCCTTTGAAACTCTTAAATACGATTTTTTATAGAAATCAAAAATTGCAAAATTTAATTCTTGATTATCTTGCACCTTTTTTTTTCCTGCCGATAACTAATTCATTCATAACTTCTTAGAATTTTCTTCAAATTCTACATTAGTACAACCATTGGATAGCTGAATTACTGTTCATCCATAATCTTTTATTACTATAACATCTAAATTCCATTTTTTTAAACTATGAATTAAGAAAAACTTCTCAATCATTTTTATTTTATATATTTGTTTCTAATTTGATTATGTAGGTCAGTTTGATACCATTTTGTGTAGTACATATGGTCCAAAATCCTTAATAATATTAACTTTGTTTCTCCTTAAAAAAATATTTACTCCAGATAACAGACCGGTTTTGAATAAATATTATATTTGGCATACAGCTTCAATACAACAATTTGGATCAACTGACTCCCAATGTGATCAATACTGATCATTATAATATTTTGATTAAGGACATTGTTAAAAATGCTGATAATCTTCACAGACAAATTACCTACTGCCTCATAGAAAGGCCACAAGATAGTTTGAAAGTATAATTCATCACTGAGCATCCTGTCATTTAATGAGAAAAAAACAGACTCCCAACTCGTATGTGAGTTCAACCTCACCACAGCACGGTCATATCTTGACTCATATACGAGTCCACCATTGCCTGGGGCACTAGTGGATCCAGGATTTATTTTTTTGGGTGGCTTCAGCCCAAAAGATTTTTTTTTTTTAATAAAGAACGATAATTACTTGAGAAGAAAAAGAAAGAAACTAACCACCTATATGAAATAGATTTTAAGTGATTCTTTAAGTGCTATTAAATGTAATTATACGAATAATAATAATTTTAGAGGTAATTATTATTTTTTTTCATAAGACATGGTTGTATTTTAGTATTTTGGGAGCTTCATCCCGATAGCTACCTATATACCATACATAGCAAAAAGCTACATATGCTCATTGACAATATTTCAATAAACCATCAATTGCAAAAGTGATTCTGAGGATCTGGATTCATATAATGATGATAATAAATATAATAGAAATAACAAATATTGCAAATTAATAACCAATTATAATTTAAAAATAATTATTAATTATTAATAATTATTTAAATAATAATTAAAAAATTATAGAATAACTGATGAACAATTACAAGTGTTTTTGTTAAATGCAATTTGTATAACTATGTAACCATGAAGAAAAGACAAGAAAGATAATTCTTAACTCTTTGAAATACTAAAATAAATAAATAGATAATACTGTAGAAAATACTTTTATTTGTAAAGAGGGGTCATAACATGAATAAGGATATTACCTAGTGGAAAAATGGAGATGAACCAAGCTAATAATGTATTCACAATTCCTAAGGAAGTATATAATGCTACTGTTATTAAAAAAGGTTGTATTAAAAAAGTGAAGTTTTTACAGAAGAGCCCCAAAAATTGAACATTTCTTTATGATTTATTAGTATAATTTCATATTATATTTTCCAATGTTATTTTCCTATTTAACAGACTACTTATTTCGGTTGCAAAATACAAAATGTCACCTTTATCGCAAACAGAATAAACATGTAAAATTGTTACATATGACCTTTTGCATTAACAGTAGCAATAATATGTGTTAAAAAAAAATTATAAATAAAAAATTAGAGCAGATATATTAATGAAGTAAAGAAAAAAAATATTGCTATTTTTGCAGATCAAAGCTGATGGAGAAATATTGTTTGATAATTCAAAATTACATTTATTACTTTAGAATGGAATAAATCTCCTCAATTTCTGACTACATAAATTATATACAATAATTTGTTAAAAGTCTATGTTATCACATAGAAATACAAATACAAAAACAATGTATCAATTTAAAAACTATCAGAATATTTGTATTACAGGTTTGGTGGTTATTATTATTTTATTTTTTTTTTTATTTTTTTTTTTTTTATTGGTATTGATTACTAATTGAAAAATTTTATCAGTTTTTTTTTTCATAATCTTAGCTTAATCAGTGTTAAAAATAAAATATTGGCTCAGTTATTTTAGTGAACTCACATGAACATGGTGAAATAATCTAAAATATTTTTAAAATAAATACTAATGAATGAAAAGAAAGAAGGAAAGTATAATTTCTCAATTAATACACAATAGTTTTAACAGTCTATATTTATGTATGCTTTACTCTGTTCAGTTTCTACTGAAATGTCTTTTTCCAATTTGTTTTAAATAAAAGAAAGTGAAACTAAACTAGATAAAACATTAAAATGTATTTAGATAATAACTTTAATGCAGATTTCTTCTTAATAATAATTTAATCGTTTTATTTTTGTTTAAGAATTTCATATTTTATATTTATTCTTACTCCCATGTAAACAGTTTGTTTTTGAAACAAAGAAAAAAATTATTTTCATCTAGTTTTCTTGCCAAATTGTTTCTGTTAAAAATAAATAAAGTACAATAAATCAATACATTTGTAGTTTCAAAATTTAATACTGAATAGTTATTCCATACTCAACAATTTTAATATTTGACATATTATTGCACAAACACAGCATAAATTCTCCTTAATTCAGAATTACTTGTGAACTTAATAATACCATGAATGTTAACTTTATTGACCAATGACATCCCAAGTTGTTGTTTTTTAGCATTATATAATTACATAGTTATTAACTTTATGCTTTATATTAATATCAAAAAGATTTATAAATGGAATATATTGTCATGGAATATTATAAGTCATGAAATGTTTTGTAATAGCAAACATTTGCATGTAAAATAAATCACAAATATACTCTAAAGAATCATAAAAAAAACACATAATTTTAATTGAAAAAAAAGTCATAAGCATCACAAAATATAAATTATTTTATAACAAAAAATTGAAAAACTTTACAAATGATTATTACACATTAACATTTTGTTATTTTTACACCATTCAGGATCACTTTCTTCCTTTTGATCAGATTACTCTTTGAGCCAGTTGTAATCAACTTTGTGATAATTTGATATGATATAAATTATACTATGTCATATAATAATATGGTAGGATTGGGATAAACATGATAATTTAGAATATAAGATCTGAAAACTTAAAAAAAAAAGTGTTGTAGCGTATACTTGTTTTTCTGTATGAAGAATTTAACATATAAAAATCCCATTTATATTTTTACTACCCGAATCATAAATATTTAGTTCAACAAAAAATATATTTAAAAAAATCACTTACCACAAGTGCCCATGGAATTAGATAACTAGTCTCTGTTGCCATTCCCAACCCAGATAAAGCTGGAGGTTCGAAGGTAGGAGCTGACCATTCCTCCTTAACAACTGAGTCAGAAAATAAACTCAACAACTGACAGTCACAGCTTGTAGATTTGGAACATAGACTGTACAATCCTTATATAGACTTTACAGGAATTGGCTGGTCAATTGAAGCAAATAAATGTTGACTTTGCTGCCATTCAGGTGCACTGAAACAGCATTGGAAGTCTGAAGCATGAAGTAGCCACAGTCTGATAGCCATACACAGTATGATAGCCATACACAGTATGAAATTAGCGAAAGAGTATGTACAAGAAGAAAATTGCCAGACATATGTCAGTACATATCTGCCTGATCCAACTGAAGAAAATTGTGATGAAGAAAAAGAAAATTGGTATGAAAAGCATTTTTTTTTTTTTTTAACTTTTATTATGATATTTACAACTGTATTAGTATGAATACATCAAGTAAATGTGTACAGAGGAATATAATAACATGAAACATGCTTGTTGAGGAACTACCCATTGGCAGCACTCTAATAATTTGTCTACATGAGGAGATCACGAGGCCATCTTCTTTTCAGACGCCTCGGAGGGTTATCAGGAATCGAAGAGGAAGCAAGGTTAGAAACGAGAGGATTTGGATGGTTATGAAGTTTATTATGGAAGGATAGGTATCTGGATTCGGCCAAATCGGAAACATATGGAACATTGATGTCTTTATGGATTATTTTATTTGTAACTATTTGTGACAAAGTAAAGAGCATTGAGGATTTTACAAAGGATTTTGGATTGTAAAGATTGGATACGAGAGGAATTTGATGATTTAGTGGAGCCCCACAGTTCAACTCCATAAGCCCAAATAGGTCTTATTATAGTAATGTATATGAGTCGTTTGTAATTAATGGGAAGTTTAGAGCGTTTATCTAGTAAGTGTTGGAGTAAGCCGAAACGTCGAGCAGTTTCTTGTCGTTTCAGTCTTGTATGAGGATTCCAAGTGAGTCTTTTGTCCTGTGGAGTCCTAGGTATCGAATTTGTTCAATAAGGATATGTGGTGTATTATTAATAAATACTGTAGGCCATTAAGTCATAGGTTTACTATTCACTGCATTTAGATGCTATTCAACAATAAGCGTTACGTTTGTTTAGAAAAAAAGTAATGAAAGATTTAGGATTCGAATTAATTGGAATTAATGCTCTTATTGCGTCCTTGTAATGGCGTAGATCGTTAATAATGCTCTATAAAATAATAATCCATGTATAACAAAAAAATTATCAAACACAAAGGATTAGTACTGTTGTCACTGAAATTCTGCAAAACCCATTTCCACAAGATCAGTGGCATAAGTTTTGAACCTATAAGGTGTAGGATAATAGTGTGGAAGTATAATATTTTTGTGAATGCCAACTTTCAGGTTTACAGAATATTAACGCTAAGTGAACAAATACCTTAAACTGAGAAATAACAATCATTACCCATTGCATAGTCTGATTCTCGGGTGGCGTGAAACCACTCAAAATAGGAATTTATTTCCTCATTGGTCCATTCCAGTTGGTGTGGAAATGTCGAGCAGTTTCTTGTTGTTTCAGTCTGGTATGAGGATTCCAAGTTAGGCGTTTGTCCAGCTGGAGTCCAAGGTATCGGATTTGTTCTACAAGGATAAGCGGGATGTTATTAAAGGATACTATAGGGTAGCAAGTCATTGGTTTACGATGAAGGGTAAAGGTGATTTGATGGGATTTATTGGAATTTATTTTAATCCTCCAGTTTTGACACCATTCATCAAGGTTTGTGATGTGTGATTGAAGAGTTTGGGATGCAATTGTTGGATCATTATTAACTGACAGGATACATGTGTCGTCAGCATACGTAGTGATGACAGTGTTAGGATGGGTTAGGATATCAGCTGTATAAACTGTGTAAAGGATAGGACCAAGGATACTACCTTGAGGAACTCCGGCAGATTGAGAAAAGAGGGATGAATAGGTATTATTGTGATTTACTTTGAAGTGTCTATCAGTAAGATAGGAACTGATGATAAGAAAATATGTAGGGGGAAGGAATTTACGGAGTATGTAAAGCAATTCCGGATGCCAGACTCGATCAAACGCCTGTTCAACGTCGAGAAAAACTCCAGTGCAATACATTCCGTGCTCCAATGCAGAGGAGACAACATCTACCACACAATGACATTGCTGGATAGTGGAATGGGATGTGCGGAATCCAAATTGGTGATCAGGGATTATGTGGTTAGAAACTAGGATGGGATACAGGCGTTTTAAGATGAGCTTCTCCAGGATTTTGCCCATGATGGGTAAAAGAGAGATAGGACGGTAAGAGGATGGGTATTCTGGTGGCTTTTTGGGTTTATGTATCATTTTGATTACAGATAGTTTCCAAGGGTCAGGAAAATATGTGGAACGGAGTACGGCATATGAAAAGCTAGGCATAAAGTGGCTAAAACATAATATAATGTAGCTTAGAAAACAGTTGTGTGGAGGAGAGTTGTCAACCAAACCACTTTGAGATGGATATTTTACTTTGTTAAAGTCTATAGTATACTAAAAAAAATAGCTTCTAACCAAAAGGCCTCCTTGAAAGGAATCAGAAGGGAGGGAGTGATAAAGATAAAAAAAATTATTTGTGGGTGACACCTGAAGTAAAATTATAGGTAGGTAATGAAAATTTGTGTTAAAATGGATAAATACTTCAAATCAATCTTTAATATTTACTTACCTATTATGAAATTAATTACTGAAATGATATATTGATACATGAAATGAGATAGTTTTGTGCCAAAACATTTTTAAAAGTGTTGTAAATTAAGAAATTTATTATATCTAATGAGAAAGTCTTAGAATCGTAATAGCAAAGAATATTAATAAATATATTTTTTTAAATATGTACAAATACATTTATTGAATAAATCATCTATAATTCATCAGGTTCATATAAAATAATTTTTATCAACATATCTATCACACAATATCCAGTTGAAGTACTTTAGAATTTATTTATTGATTTTCAATATTGAGTTTTTTTAATGTTGATACAAAAATAATTTGTCTATATTAACTTAAACACCTCCAACAAATATCCTTAATTTCCATAATTTGTTTATTGATATTGATATGATATAAAATCAGTGCTGACATTTAGGCAGAGAAACCTGAACTCATGCCAAGGGGCACCAGCCTGGAGGATGCTCACCTCATGTAGAGGATTATCAACAATTATATATTTTATTAATTAAACTAATGAATCAAAAATATATTAAAATAAATACAATACAAATATCAAGTAATATATATTGTTCTTATCATCTACCTAATTTCCTCCATCTAAATTATATTTTGATGTTACAAGTAGACGGGTAGGGTGCTCATTACATAATTGCCTGGGGGTGCAAGTATCTAAGGCTGTCACTGTTTTAAATATTACCTTGATAACAGATAAATAAAGTGTGTATTAAATAATTACACTAACCAAAAGTTAAGATGTTAAATTAAAATCAGTAGAAATGAAATCTGATCACAAGTATCAACTGTTATTATACATAAGCTAAAATTATTGCACTAGTAGGGACAGTTCATATATTAAATACCTTTTAAAATCATAAAATTTCAATAAGAAAATAACAACATATTGTACTTTTCATATAACTTTTAAACAAATTAATAATAAACGTATGTCAACTGTCAAAAGACAACTAATGTAACAAAGATTAAAATTCAATGAGAATTCATTAATAACATAATAATAATTAAATTAAAATAACTTTAATGACCAAAGTTTATAATTACACATTTATCATATTCAACCACTTTTTCATCTATAAATCCCTTTAATCATGGGATTTTTCCTAGATTCTATAGGTTTGTAAGATTGTTGGTAAATAGAAGCTAGACGCCAGTGTTCTGGATAGTCCATTCCCATCGTTCCAGGCCATAGAGAAAATGGAGGAGCTAAAGTATTTATTGAATAGCTCTTTCGAGCAAAGGGTGTTTTTGGTTTAGGAACAGCTATAGGTTTGGTCGTTTGAGATGTTTGACTCCCATTGTGGCTGCTACTCCTTGAGTTGGGATTTCCTGCTTTAAATGCCATTTTATATTCTGATCTAGGCTGGCGTGTGCTGATTCCCAATGGAGTCTTTGTTTCACAAGCCATGCAAGGACGAGAAAAATGCATTTTATCTTTACATGATTTATTAGCATTTCCTGATAAGTTTGGTGAACTTCTATAATGTTTTTGTCTTGCTAGTTTCTCTGAAGATATAGAAGAATCAGTGGCATTATGAGATCCATATTTTAAAGATCCATTTTTTGAAGAATTTTTTCCCGAATTTGGGGGAGAAGGAATGTTGGGATTTTTGTTCTCTTCTGAACCATTTAATGATAATTTATCTTCAGAATTTATTGGGGCTAACTGTTTTTTTCCATTGCTGTGTGGATTGTGTTGAGTAGGGCTTTTGGTGATTTCATCATGGTCATTTGTGACTATGTCCATTACAGCAGAGGCGTTTACTGGCTTACTCTTTTCATTTATCTCTGGCCAAGCGGTTTTGGGTTTTGGTCCATTGTCATTGGAAGCATCTTTTTTGTTTAAGTGTTCTTGATCACGAGATTTCACTATAGTGAATATGCCAGGAGCCACAGAACCATTGCTGCCGTCGATATGTGCTGGTCTCTTTGGTTCATCTTCTGGCTTAGGCGGCACTAGGTCCCAACATATAGCCAGATCTATCTCTTGCAAATCTTTAAGCTTACATGTTTTAGGCCTCTGCTCATCAATACTTCTCTTTTTTCTTGGAACAGCTGTTTTGGGTCGAAATATTTTCAGTTTGCTACATTGAGTTGGACCTGGAGATGCGTACATCTTTTGAGCAACAGCAGCAGCTGTAGGTTCAGTGTCTAGTGCTGCACCAGGATTTTTCACCCGTTGCATTTGTAGTGAGTTAAATAATTTGTCTTCGATGACATCTGGCAAAGGTCGGTGCCTCAAGTTGTTCTGTGCTAATTCTTTGGCGAACTGTGCACTTATAAACTCAGCTTCTAGAGGTTTGGATTTTCTACTCGATGATGATGAGCGAGATTTCATTGAACCAGCAGATCCCCGTTTCTCTGAATCTTGGCTTTTGGCAGAATATCTTTCTTCGCTTTTCATTGATTCGCTGTCTGATTTGTCTTCTTCATTTTTCTTATGAACCTCTTCCACTAATGCTTCGAGGAGATTTTTCTTTTCGGGGTTAATCTTACAAGTCTTAGAATAGCTCTCGATATCTTTTCGAACTCTTTCCGTCGTATCGATGATCTTCGGAGTCCTGTCATAACCCACCGGATTCGTGTTATCATGTTCATAGTCCTTTGTTTGATCTAACCCTTCTGTCTCACTTTCATTAACAATAGGAATTTCCTTTTTTACGGAATGTAACTTTTCTTTTTTCTGAAAATAAAGAAGGATAGTATTAATATTCAACAGTGCTACAAGAAAACAAAGCCAAAAAAAAAAAATAGTGTGTCCAATCACGACTTTCCTACGAGAAAGAAAAGATTTTATTACGATTTATTCGATAAACTAAAGCAATGTAAATCTGCTTAAGGTAGATCAGTGTAAACATTTCAATACCCTCTAATATTGCTGTTTCTGTTAAAAGTAGAGGAAATAATGAAACTTGTGTGATGCAACAGATTTTTTTACTTTCACTTAGTTATCCTTTTTTTCTCTCATTCATCCCTTTCTGACACCGAGATATGAACCAAAACATTTTCTTTTCTTTATAACCTTTTTTCCTGAATTTTCTCGGGAATTTATTTCATATACGAAAATTAAAACGACAATTATTAGAATATTATAGGAAAGTTTCATCAAAATCTTTGAGCTATTTTTGCGCTACAGTCTATAGAAAAACATGTTTTTGATTTTTTGTGGAGCAGCTATTGCGCATGCAGTATCCAATTTGTGTAACAGGTATCAGTAGTTAAAATCCTACAAAATAAAAAAAGAAGCAACAAAATCGGTTTCAGTAGTTCCCGAGAAAATCTTGCCACAGAAAGACAGACAGACCAATGGCTAAAAATGTGTTTTTCGAAATCAGGGAGCTCTGAAACGTAGAGATCCGTCAAAAACCGCAGATCGGAAACTTAACCCGATTGCAATACTTTCCTTACCTAGTATAGGTAGAAAAGTAAAGAGAATGTTGAATAAGTAGAGAGATTCTAGGATCTACAATACTAAAATAACTTGGAAATCCTATACCAAGTTCCACAATTTGAGACGAACTGAAGTAAGGTCTTTGTGCACACGGTAGTGTGCAAAATGCGTTAGAAGTACTACTTAAATAATACACCATCTAGAGCAATGCTGGAATAGAGTTTCCGCGTCTTTTGCGAGTTGAAAACCATAGTTTAATTCGTCAATGGAGGTATTTAACCAAGTTTTATATTTACGAAACCAATGGCGCATCTAACAAACTACATCGCCCTCTAACAAACTCGTGTGCCCTTTACCCTTTTAGAATAATGACCAATTTAATTCTTAGACAAAACTTAAACTCGTAACATTTTTCAAACTCACACTTAAGCATACTAATCAGAACATCATAGTGCCTACAATGAATAAGTAAATAATGGTGAAGGGACAATTTTTTTTCATTTGGTTGAAATGTCTATGCATATTGTCCCAATGCGTAACATCGATTGTATTGGCATTATCTTAACTCGTTCTTCTTCTCCTACTTAGAGTGCCCAAAGGCAAATAAACAAACGAACTAAAAATATTTAAATATTTAAAATGCAGGTAATAGGTGCAGGTGAACATTTTAAAGCTAACGGATAAACATCTTAAACATTAAAAAGACTGTATGAATGAAATAAATAAAGTCCTGAGGGATAGAGGAATGAGATTTGGAATGTAGGCGAAACAGGTAAGATTAATTTGGGAGAAAGATAGATAGTTTAAGTTGTTAAATCATCAATACAATTAATATTAAATTACTAAATTTAATGTTTTTTAAAGTTAATGTTATGTAAATAATGTTATTAAAACGATAAATATAAATGATACCGTCGGAGGTGGAAGAGGTGGCGTGAGTGATTCCTGTTCAGTTAGAGGATGGTGGAAAGATCGCTTTTCCCAAGAAGATTTCTCTGTCCTAGGTGTCCTTTCTCCACTGATTTCTTTTGCTGCAAATCATATTTCAACAATAAATAAATGTAAAAAAAAGAACTAAAAATTTGATTTCAAATTCTTCATTTATAATAATAAGCATTCTTTTTAGTCTTTGATTGTTTTTCATGCTGGACTATAATAGTCGTTTACTCCAAAGTGAAATTTAATCGTTACTAATAATTTTTCATGAATTGCCAAAAACTATATTTTCTATTCCCATTGTAGTATCAATACCCCTAATTTTGTTTAAATCGATTTATAAATTCTTTATTTGTTGAACATTTTTCTGAAAATTAATGATTATTCTAGGAGAAATTAAAAACTATTGAAACTTTAATAGGTTTCCTTTTGGAAAGAAATTTGTTTTGGAGAAAAAAAATCAGTGCAATACACAACTTTCACTTACCGCTCAACTTTGAATAGAAATTATTTTATGGCCATGTTGGACTATTATGAAATGTTTGAATGGCATTTTTAACCGTGCTAAAGCTAAATGCTTACAACTAACAAATCATAAATACTATTAAAATAACAAAAGTCCTATTTATTATATCACCGGTTGATTATAGGTTGTACGATCGTTTGATTATGGATTGTACGACTATTAGTTATTAAAGTGTTATTTTCCATTGCAAAGTTTACTAAAATTGAATTAAGAGATTTGCACTGTTTGATATATACAGGTCAAAAGTTATCGCACTAATAGGAAGTGGATACTGTTGGAATATCAGAAAGGGAAAATTCACAAAAATATTCACTAATTTAATTTTCTAAAAATTTACATGACAATATTTCGGAAAAATGGACATTGATACCTAATTATTTAAATATAATATTAGATCTAGAATTATTAAACTACAGTAAATGTATTTGAGGTTATAAACATATGCTTTATACATCCGTGAAATGAATTTATATTTTACTACTTCGTTCACACAAGTGCAATGAAATAGTTTTTTTAACAATGTCATTGCCTTGATTAGGTGGATTTTAAATACATTTTTCAAATCTAACAATATTTTAAAAGTTTACATTTAGTTAGTAAATTTCATTTAATTTCCTTAAAAACATGGGATTTATGTTAAATATTATTATTTATATTTGTTTGCCACTCTCCGTTGCCTTCTATAACTTCCTATACTGGATATTGTATTTTCTAAAATTCTCCGCTTTCCAACGATATATTATACGTATACCTTCAGACCATTATTTCTGGATATTCATTTTAGGGCCTGGATAATCATTTTTATATTTTTTCTCCTTTATTCAATCATTAGATTCTTCCAAATGTTATACTTAGCATTTTCTCGCAAACTCTGAATAATGTGAGATGAATAATTTTTTTAAATAAACCTTATCAAAGGTACTTTAGAGGAAGACGTATATGAACATTGACCACTTAAGCTCTATATAGTGACATCGATGAGGTCTGACCGATGATGACCTGATTGATATTAAAGAAAACTTAATTATACAATGATAAACCGAATTTAATCAAAATCGTTTGAGCCGTTTTTGAGAAAATTGTAAAAATGTGTTTCAGCGTTGATAAAAAGTGGAACTTTCGGGTAGCCGATATTGCGTAAAAAGTTGCTGTCACATCTAAAGCATATACCTATATTAGATAAGTAATATAAGTTTCGAACGATTTTTCGTTTTTGAGCTAGACTGCTAACATACACACTCACAGACACATAGATCATTTTGCGGGGCTTGGTTATTTGGACTCACGATACCTCAAAACGTGTATTTCCGTTGAAAACTCAGATTCTAAAATTTTCACGATCGCAATACTTTCTCTTACTATATATATTACATAAATAGGTAAATGAAAGTAAAAAGTTATAAAAATTGTAATATAAAAAATTTACTTTTTGTTTAAATATTCTTTTTTTTTACTTTTTGAATACTTAATAGTTGACCGTTGTATATTTAAGGAAGGAAATGGTCCAGGGTGACAAAACTATTTTATGAAAAGCTAACGTTTCAACCTGACTTTGCAGGTCTTCTTTAAGGAGGTGTGTTCAGCAAGGAGTTTCACTTAGAATTGTACAAAATACTTCTAAACCTTTAATAAAATAGTTTTGCTACAATTTAGTCTATGTATGACTATATATATATGAATTATATAGTATATTATATATATATATATATATATATATATATATATATATATATATATAATAGATATATATATATAATAGACTATATAATATATATAGACTATAGACTATAGACTATATATATATATATTTATATGAAAACTCATCAGTATTCATTTTTTTTTTTTTTTTTTTTTGTTAAGAATACATAAGCAAGTTTCATTACATCAATCATTACATAATCGAAAATTTCCACTCGCGTTTTATGTTACAGACATCAAGGATCAAATTTGGTTCGGTGTTTGTCAGTAGTCAAATCGATGTGACGGAATATCATCTACTACCGTTTATCTGATTTTCATGAAATTTCCAGAGATTGTGCGGATTGGTATCTAGATGGTCCCATATCAATTTTATCGAATTCCATCTAGCACTTCCGCTTACGCACGCCAAACGCATTTTTGTAGATATGTCAATATTTCAGAACCGGCTCGTTCGATTTAGCTTAAAGTTAGATAAAACGTAGATATTTGTGAAAAATTGATGTAGCACCAATTTTGTTTAATTCTGTCTTCTACTTTTTCATATATTTGAGTAAAGGTGTTTTCTTTATTTAAGGTTTTTCTTGATACGTCTATATCTCTGAAACCGCACGTTTGATTTGGCTCAAATTTGGATAGAATTTAGGTTTTGGTAAAGAGATGATCTAGTAGTTATGAATTTTATCAAATTCTACCCACTGCTCAAAAAGAAAAAAATACTTCCGCTTTCAGATCAGGAAATTTATTATTTGACATGCTCATAGTTTAATAACTCCGCGTTCGATTTGACCCAAACTCGGAGAAAATTTGGAGAATATTATAGAAATTATCTAGTATAAATTTTATTGAATTCTATTTAATAATTTAAGCTGATATAAGTAATTATTAACTAGATAATGACTGTGAAATATAGAAGGCATTAATCAGTTATAGTGTTTATTAAGTTATTAGAATTTAGGTTATTACAACATTGTTATAAGCTGATAACATTTTAGGTTCTATTCAAAAAATTAATTTATACTGGATTGTTTGGTCGATTCCAAACGTTACTGGCATGACACATACTGCAGATACTTAGATTTCGAATAATTTTCAGTGCATTTAAAGTAATTTTTACTCTATGTTTGTAAAAAAAAAACGCCTTATTTGTTATTGTGTTTATATCCATTGAAGTTCAACTAGTTCGTTTTGTTCTCGATTTTCTCCTTAAATATCGAAGTTGTGTGAACTTCACCCATATTTTTATATTTTCTACCCTAATGCTTTTTGTTCTGACTGAAGAAAAGTATTGGTCTCGTTAACTTCGAATAAACAACAAGTTGAATTTTTCCTATGGATTTTCTAGTTCCATCCATTTCACGAGTGAAAACATACCTAATTAAGTATGTATCACTGCTATTAGTGGAAAAGGACGTATGTAAACATTTTCAATTTTTATTCTATTTGTGCTAAAAGTGGCATTTTGTAGTCTGCAACTGATATAAGTAGTCTGCTACTACGGAAAAAAAGCAGATGACAATAAAATATGAAATTATACCAATACAGCATAAAGAAATAATGGGTTTGTATGCACCTTTGTAAAACAATCAATTTTTACATACCACCTTTTGCACTAACAGTAGTGAAATGCATGTTCAGTATTCATTACTTGTTTTTTTTTTACTTCTTCATTACCGAAGGTTTTTTTTTTTTAATTAAAAAACCTATACCACTACAACCCATGAAGGGTCGGGGGTTCAGTACTATTTAGGGAAAGTACTGTTTCTAGGGCAACGGTTGTGCATGGAGGTGATTCGACCGAAATCACGCTCAACCGCCAGGTTTTCCCCCTTAATTAATTATTCAATTAAGGGTACCCACTTTATAGAGGCTGGGTATGCCCCAGGAGGGACTCTCAAACCCAGGGTCGCCCCACGGCCAATGAAACAGATAAATAAATTTTCTGCCATGAGCCGGGGTTCGAACCTGGGACCTTTGCATTGGAAGCTCAGTGCCCTACCACTGAGCTACCCCACTCCCCTAACTTTTTTAAATTAAGAATGATCAAATATGGAATCTTCAAATACGGCACTCTTTCGCATTTTAATATTAGCTGATAAACGAAATTCGTGGATATCAAACCCGCGGATGTTGAAGGGTAACTGTACTTGCGAATCGGCTTCTCTCAGAAATTTTATTCTCATACGAAAAATTGTATACCTTGTAATATTATAATATTTTAACCAATGGAATAGGTGAGAAAGCTTTTTGCACCTTACTTGGCACACGTTTTTTGGTTTGGTTTTTGATTTTCTGAAAAAATGTTTTTCAAACTCAGGTGGCTCTGAAAAATAAAGATCAGTTTAAAACAGCACATCGGAAATTTGACCCGATCGCAGTACTTCCCTTACCCAGTAGGAAAGTAAAACATAAATAAATTAAATAAAATAACTGGATAGTGAAATTATTCCAATGATCAGGTGAGTTTGGCATTGTTTATAAATCCATGCTGTACCGTCCTAAATGCTATTATTAGGGGAAACATACTAAGTAAAAATTGAAAGTTCATACTATTTATAGGTTGTCTCGTGCTAAACTTTAAGTAGAAATTTTCATGACACGCGAAAATACAGTTCAATGCCTTAGGGATGAGATTTCAGATTTCTTAAAACTTTTATATTGTTAGGTATGTAGTGAATATAAAAAATCCAAGTTTCCGCGCTTGAAAGCCTTGTGAGTTCGCTGCAGTGCTCCAAAAACCATTGAAATTTCCAACGTTTTTTGGTTTACGCTAAATATCACCTTTAGATAGATCATCATAAATAATAAATGATTATATTCAATCCTGAACAGCTTAAAATTATTTAACATTTTTATACCTAACATTTTTTTGTAAACCCAACAGGAAGCGAACTATCGAGCTTTCAAAAATGGGCAAAGTTTTGAAAAAAAATTAAAATTGACAGTTTAACTATTGTATTCATATTTATAAGTTAATACAATCAACTATTAATACAATAATTATAGCACTATAACTATACCATTTATGAGTACTAAATGGTGTAGCAGGGTACTTTAGACTCTTATACAAGTGCTGCTATGAATAAGTATATTTTCTAAGAAACTGCTTCAAATATTTTGAAAAATTAATCAGTGTTTTATAAGTAGAAATGTATTCTCCAAATGTTTTATTTCAGATCGTTTTTTTTGTTGTTATTATTGGCCATTTATTTACGAATGATGCTTGATTTTCATTTTTGGTTTGAACGACTTGAAAAACTTGATATTTTTTTATTATTAATATTTTTTATTATTCTCTATCTATTCAGCTTTAGTAAAAAAAAAAAAAACATTCAGGCGAAATTCAGCCAAATGCCGAATATCAGTGACCGAAAAACTAACTCAAGTTAAAGGCGTCAATCTGCTATGTTTGAACGCCATTTTGGGACAGTGCGGTCGCACTTGTTTTTTTTTAATAATAGTAACAACACAACTGTAAGCAAATTTATTGGGATGTGGGGGTATTGGTATGGTAGGGAAGATTTGGTCCATCGTGTAACATGTTTTCCAAACCACTTCTAGAGTACAGTCTACCGATGCAGTCAATGGCTCATTTATCTTCAAGGAAAACCTCCGAAGTCTATGAACGAGGTTCAAAATGGAGTGACGGAATTCTTCCATTCAAACCTGAAAGAGCACTACTGTGAAGAAATCGAATTGGGTAAATTTTGAAAGCTCGATAGTTCGCTTTCTGTTCAGATTAGAAAAAAACTGTTAAGTACCAAAATGTTAGATGATTTTTGGCTCTTTAAGATTGAAAATTACCATTTTTGATTTATATTCCTCTGATAAGGAGATATTTAAACCACAAGTTTTTTTTTTTTTTAAATTTCAATGGTTTTTGGAGCACTGCAGCATACCCACAAGGCTTTCAGAGATGGAAACTTGATTTTTTTATATTCACAATATACCTAACAATATAAACAAAAAATTATAATTACCCGACATTTTTCAAGGTAACACCTCTAATTTGACTGGTTTATCTTACAGTCATTCTGTCTTGTACATTTATCCATCTACTTTTTCCTTGGACGTTTCCTCTTCTTCTTTTTCTCTGGGTTACACAGACACTTTTTTTTACCATATGCCTTCTTCTATCTTCATTTTATGTCCGAACCATTGAAGCATCCTGTTTTCAATATTATACGAATTCAATTTTTCATGTTCTGTACTGTTAAATAGATCACTGACTTCATAAAGTCGAGAAGAGGAGAAATTCTGCTTTGCCTTCTTTGGTTTGGACACTGTCAGTTCACACATGATTTCCTAGAAGTACCTTTAAAAAGGGGAGCGGAGTATCTCGGGAAGTTCCATTGGTCCGCTAAGCTCTTAGTTTCGGGTTCTAATCCGGCTGAAGGCAAGTAATTTTCCATCATTTGTGGACACTGGACTCTGTTGTGAACCTTGGGTCGGGAGCCCATCCTGGGGCACACCGAGCATCTATAAAGTACTTACTCTTAATAAAAAAAATAATTAAGGAGGAAAACCTGGCGATTTAGCGTGATCCTGGTCCAATCACTATTCTTCACAACCGTTATCCTTAAAAATGAACTTGCTACCAAGGTACTGAACCCTTGAATGGTTCAGTACCCCATACCCTTCAGTGGTATGGGTTTTTTTATTTGTTACATTCTAAGATATTTCGAAGCGCACACATGTGAAAAGTGCAACAATTTATCTCAAACAGTAAAATATCTACTGAAAGAATATCCCTAATTTTAAACCGATAAAAATAAAAAAAAGCCTTGCGACATTAAGAAAATTTTTACAGGAAAGTGAACATCGAGTCTCTGCTGTATTAACATTTTCAAGGCTTACAAAATACAAATAGAATACAAATTATAGTAAATCGTCAGTGTTCCTTTAGGGTTCCAGCGAGAAAGGGAAAGAAAAAACAGGGTTAGTCGGTTATGCTTAAATTTTTGATAATTGTGAAAGTTGCGTGATGCACGCCACATCATATATATTTTTTTTCTATTATTATATTTTTGTGACAGTAAACAGTTCGAAAAAAGGCAAATAATTGCATAATTATAATAATAAAGACTTCACGGAACAAAAAAAAAAGAAACTTTAAAGAGATTAGAGGACCTTAGCAATAACTTAACAGTGCCTTACACCTTTATTTTTCGAGCTAAATTCATTTTTGGGGTACTAATTGTAAATAACTGAAAGCGAAAAGATGGCACAAGGTATTCGAAATAATTTAAATAAAAATCCATATCATAACGCTGTAGATTTTACTTAGAGTGGTCACATATCAAAGACGGGCATTTGTCATTTTTAAAAAGTTAAGGCAAATCCACTTTTCGTAACATAGCTTCAATTTAAAGCAATTATAATGACTTTTTTCATAATTCAATTTGAACATACTTAAATAAAATCAGCAGAAACAGTTGAAAAAAATTGAACCTATAAAATAAAATTAGACTTTTTCCCAACTTTTCGAAAGCGACAGATGTCCGCCTTTGATATGAGACTACTCATATGCAAAATCTACAGCGTTAACACATGCTTTTTATTTAAACCACTTAGGATACCTGGTGTCATTGTTTTCTCTTTCAATTATTATAATTAGTTCCACAAAAATGAAGTTAGATCGAAGAATTAACGTGTAAGGCACAGCAACAATGATGAGCAAATTACAGTTTGTCTCCTAAAGAGGAACTCCTGTTAAAAAAATGGGTATTTTATTACTTCAATAGGGATTTTGAAATTAAAAAATGACTAATTCTTTATTTTAAAAACAGTATGCCCACTAACGGATCACAGGTTTTTTCTATGTCTAGATCCAAAATATCAGTAACAGCGAAATTCATTTGTATGAAAACGATATTAGCGATTGCTTTTGTTCACTTTGATGAAAGACAATTAGTTGATTTTTGCCTCAACATCCTTTCAGGTATAAGTATATTTCGTACAGGTTTCCATGGAAACATCTTTACTTTTTTTTTTCTTTTACGAATAAATAAAGAACTACATCTATCTTTCGACTATTATCTAGTCTAACTAAACTATCTTTTGAGGCAATCAAGATACTCACTTGAAAGAGAATTATTAAATTGCTTACGAAACGGTAGAAAAGCCGAGTTTGAAAACACATTATGTTCTTAAATATGGAATGCTATGATTTAAATATGAAAATTTATTTATCACAAAACGGAAACATGTAGCTGTTATAACCTATTTGCCTATTTCACCAATGATAAAAGCAGAAAGGAGAAAGCAGTAGAAAATGAGCTATTTCTTTCAAATTAATAACGCATATGTACAACCAGTTTCGATACAACGGTTATTTGAAGAACGCGAACATGATACTTAAAGAGTAATACTTACTGAGCGGTATCGAAAATGTAACGTGGGCTGGCATTTTCCATTTGTTTTAACATATGGTTTTACAGATAAATCTTTCTTAAGTGTTAGATGATAAGAGCTTTTTGTGTGTCACAAAGAAATTTGTTAATTTTTAAGGAGAACATACTGACGATAAGAATAAACTAGAAATATTTCTACTTAGCTCAATGAAGTAGAAATTATTGAGACGGGTAAGCGATGAGCTATAAATGGACCATAGAAAAAGTTCGAGCATAAATCTGGAAATTCTCTTTCGCACACTCTTCCACGCGTTTTATTCAACCCTTCAAGAGTATGAATGAGTCCATTCTCGAAAATTCTGATCAACACCATCTTTCAAATATAACGATTTATTATTTAAAAATTTACAATTGTGCGGTAGCGAGAATGCGCTGAGAGATCACCATCGTCGGATCACCTGCCTGTGCTTTACACGATCGAGGGCACACCCGCCACATCACCGGCGAGTAAATACTTATTCCATAAGGCCGACTGGAAAGCATACAGGTCCTTGCGTTGAAGTCACGTTACCGCATGGAAACAAGCGATTTACATGGAAACAAGTTACTCAAGCCGGCGAAGAGAGAGGACTCAGCTGAGCACTATCGTCCGATTAGCCTCTTCTCGCACATCAGTAAGATTTTCGAGAGAATAATCCACCACCACCTTATGAAACACTGCTGGAGGGAGAGCATCATACCACCAGAGCAGACTAGTTTTTAAAGAAGGGTCGCGTGTGAACACCGCCTAGCTAAATTTCATGCCCACACAATAGATGAAATGACAGAGCTACGACGATCATCTATTAGGGCTGCAACGAGGCCTTTGACTGCGTGTCCCACACACATCTACTTCGCCGTCTGGAAGAGGTCAGGTTTCCTGCCACTCTATGCCGATTGATCCGAAGCTGCCTCAGTGGAAGCTCCCTCGTCAAAAGACTTGGCACAGACTACTTAACCCCAGTCGATAGCAACTGCGGAGTACCTCAAGAGTCTGTGTTGGGGTTAATACTGTTCGTCGTTTCCACGGCACCGTTAGTTGCATACACTCAAGCATCCAAAGGCAGTGGTCAACGCGGGGACTGCACTCACTCTGGCACGGAATGCTTCAGCCACAATGGTTGAAGAACTAGATGCGATCGGTATCCGAGTGAACCCTGCGAATCATGCTATTGTCATGTCGTTCCAAAACTTGAAGTCGACGCAGCTCTCGCTGAGACTCAAGTTCCGAATTTATCAAGCCCTATTCCACGGGGCCCCTCTCCGTGTTTTTTTTTTTTTTTTCGATACCTGTATAAATCCACGCTTACGAGACTTCAGGGCTTCCAGAACTTTATCCTTCGCCGAATTGTCCGTGGCGCCACCAAAAAAAGGGCTATGAATCAAACAATACGAGAGAAGCTCCAGCTCCCCTCGGTGCCTGAGTTCATAGGCCGGAGGCAGATCAAATTTTTTGATGGGCTGAAGGCCTGTGCAAACCCATTGTTTAATGAGATCTCACCACCACCCAGACCTGAGAGGTGGCAACGTAATCTCCCTTTGGTGGACATACTCGCTGAAGGATGTGGTCTGGACTCTGCGCTCCAAACCCATTAATTTGTATATAGTGTAAACATTGTAAATATCATACAGAATAAATAACCAGCAGAACGGTCCCTCCCTGTTCATTAAAAGTTACTAGGCCTTGTGCCACATATATTACCCTTAGCTATTCCCAATCTTTAAAATGCCCTCGGGCAGTAGAAGAACATTGTTAATATATACTTTTATTGTTATATTTATCTATGTAATTTGATTAAATAAACTTTTTGGGGGGTTAGAAAAAAAATTTTCATTTCAAACATTTTCATTTCAGAATAAAACAAAATAAAAAAAAAAAACTGTACCACTATAACCCATGAAGAATGTTTGGTTCAGTACTTTGTAAGGAAGTGATCCTAGTGGTCGCCAACGGTTGTGTAAGGAGGTGGTCGGATCAGGATCACGCTCAACCGCTTAGTAATTATTTGAGAAAATTGCGAAATTCCAAGTTGATAATAATGTCCTATCTTCAAAGTCCTTCCTAAATATAACTTCTTCTTGCACGGTGCTAAAAGTTGTATAGCGTCAGAGCCTCCTGCAAGCTCAACTGTCAGTCATCTCTAAGAAGTGCCACAGCTTTCCTATCGTGGATTCCAAGAATAGCTCGGGATCAGCCCCTCTAAGGCGTGCTAAAAAAAGACAATATGTGATCTGGAAGCATCCGGCGAAAGTGTCCAGCGCATCTTGATCTGCCTATCCTTATTATCCACACATCAGCTTCTCGATATAGCTCCTGCAGCTTGTTCGTTTGCATCCACCATTCATGGATGCTATTGAGTATTGGACCAAATGTTCTTTTTAGACCTCGACGTTCAAAACGAAGAAGGACTGCTTATTTCATTATTGATTTCATATAACATTCCGAACCATATGTTAAAACTGGTCAGTAAATCAAACTGCATCGTAAATTCCGCTCCAGTAAAGATTCTACAAGATTATATGCTTTTTGTAATAAAACTAATATGCCGTCGGTTAATTGTAAAAAGTCATTAAGTAACATCTCAATGATTTGAAGTTTCTGATTCGTAAAAAAAATAATAAATTGTAATTTGATTATTTATTTTTGTTATTTAAAATTCTAAACATGTATTCTATTTTCGACACTTAATTGAATTATTTAGCATATACATAACAGTGAATAAAAAATGAATGACTTTTTACACACTATCATATTTAAACAAAACATTAACTTATTTTTATAACCTCTCAGGTACATAGGATGTGAGCTAGACTTATCTCAATTTGTTAGTTTTATTAACCATCTGATCAATTAATCCAGTGAAAGAAATCATTAAGGGCCGGTTGCCCCAACTCAGTATAGCTTAGATTAAGCGTTATCTAAGATTAAACCAAGTTTAATTTTGATCGGTCGACCGTAGAGGCTTAAGCTTTAGTTCCAAGAAAAAAATTGTTTCCTAGGGTTACCTTGGCAACTATGACCTTCCACGGTGTTTTTGCTGTATCCTTTGTGTTAATCAATTTTATTTATCTTTTCTCTTGCAAAAAGGAATATGCTAGATTTTGACGACCTCACAGATGAAGAGGATTTTCTCGATGTAATTGCATATTTACTAATGGAGAAAAAAAGTATACCACGGCTTAATCATTTTGTCCATTGGTCTGATGATGAATTTTATGATATACTTAGATAGATATTTTTTGATAATTAACACTTTAATTAATTTAACTTTGACTTTCGTTAAACGATAACAAACACTTGAGAAGACATTGAGAAGCTCACACAATAAATAACCGTAGAAAAACAGATTAGTAACATACCGCTTCCTTACTATATCTTGGTTTAGATTTAAATAATTGTGCAACTAGTCTTAAGTGAATTTTTGACCTATTAAGTCAGAGCATCGTGCACTTAAAGAAACTATTCTTTACGTATAAAATTAATTAGTTATTGTATTGATAAATATGATCGAAATTAACAACTAAGTATCTTGAGATAATAAGGATTGACCAAAAGTGTACTTAATGAGTTTTTCAATTAACCGACGATATTTTAGCTATGGATAGGCAGAGAATATACCCTTGCAACCCTGTTTGATAATTAGTAAGATGCTGATGTTTGGATTACTTGCCTATATTTCTGGTAATCTTCCTGGGTAACTGCCAGGTGGACTTGAAGTGCCCCCAGGGCGCCTTCCTGGGCACTCCAGGAAGGAGATGTCCTCTGTTGTCCGCTATAACCTTGGTGTGCCCCCTTCTTGCCTTGGGTTTCACGAAGGGGTACCACTTGTCAACTTCCCAATTCCCAAGTCTGGGAGCCCGGAAGCTCTGTTCGTACTGGAAAAGAAAATTATGAGAACAATAAGTAAAAAAAATATATACGTGTGAGAAAGATAAATTAAAAACATCAAACAAATTATATTAACAAACATACAAAATTCATTGTCGTTATGGCTTATTCGTCAGAGCACCTTTGCTGGTTGGAACGGTAATGTTGTGTTTATTATTGGTTTCCTTCACATCTTTTCTTTCAACATCACTATTAATTTTTAGTTAAATTTACTATAAAAAATTTACGGTAACTGTAGTAAATGTATTTATGGCTGGGCTCCAAGCTTATGCCCGTAGGTACCGTTGTACATATAATGTTCGAGTAACATTATATGTACTACCCTGTTATAACCAGTAGCAGTGATTTACCTTGGCAGCCAAAGATCAATGTATACTGTTCAACAAGTTTTTATAAAATCTTTAATATTTTTTTCTAATAATTAATTAAAATCTAATAACTAATTTATATGAAATTGACAGTGTTTAAACACAATATTTTCTTGTATAAATGTTTCAATTTTTTTTTGTTTTTGGAATGACAAAAAAAAAAAAAAAAAAAAAAAAAAAAAAAAAAAAAAATTTTGGAGTGACAACCTCGCGCGGGCTCATTACCGCGTATGGGGAGCGTCCCACGGGTGGCGGATGTGGGGATGGTCGGTGGAAATTCCTTGGAAGTTCCTCCCGGCTAAGTCCGATGGACTCGCTGACCAACAATGAGAGGGGCCCTCCAGACTTGCTGGAGGGAGGGGACCTCCAGACTTGCTGGAGGTAGGGGCCCACCAGACTTGCTGGAGGGTGTGACGTAGGATTAAACGCCCTACTCACATATCTTTAGTTCACCAAACACCACAAAAAGTCATGGATCTCCCTAAGGTAAAACGCTCATTATCCGGAGGTGAACTAGTCCCCCGTTCGGGTCTCCGGGTGGGGACTGCTTTAGGGGATTTATGGTGCAAGTTGAAATATAGGGATTTGAATATTGGTACGTGGAACGTAAGGAGTTTAAACACAGCAGGGGGGCTAAAATCGGTCGCGAATGAGGTAAATGGGTACAATTTGGATGTCGTGGCTCTGCAAGAGGTTCGCTGGCCAGGGGAGGGCTCGATGAGGGAAGGAAAGTACACTATTTGGTACGGAGGAAGCGGGAATCATTGGTTGGGTACCGGGTTTCTAATTAGGAGTAGGTTACTATCCGCTTTGAGGGACGTACAATTCTTTAGTGATAGAATTTCGGTAGCTACATTTCAGGGACGTTGGTTTAAAATCGCATTAATAAACATACATTGTCCGACCGAAGACAGTGACGATGAAGTCAAAAGTGAATTTTACGATAAACTCGAATGGGTTTATGATAAACTACCGCGAAACTACATGAAAATAATTGTAGGTGACGCGAACGCAAAGGTAGGAAGGGAAGAAGTTTATATTCCGACGATTGGTAAAGAAAGTTTGCACGAATATAGTAATGATAATGGGATCCGTCTGATAAACTTTGCCATCTCGAAAAACCTGATAATTAAAAGTACGACGTTTAAACACAAGGATATTCATAAATATACTTGGACATCACCGGATTCGCAAACACGAAATCAAATCGATCATGTCTTGATACAACATAGCTGGCAAAGCAGTATAATTAATGTACGGTCTTATCGCGGAGCAGAATGTGGGTCGGATCATGAATTAGTAATCGCGAAACTTCGACAAAAACTTAATATAAAAAAGAGAAAAGAAAACCGTTTCGATATTGAGAATTTTAATTTGGAAAAATTAAAAAATCCATCAATTAGAAACCAATTCGAGCTAGATGTTAAGAATAGGTTTGAAGCTTTAGAGCTTCCTGACGAGGACCACGAGGATATTGACAAGTTATGGATAGAGATCAGAGATAATATTAAAGCGGTCGGTAACTCGTGTCTAGGAAAAAAGGAAAATAAGAATAACAAACCGTGGTTTGATGAAGATTGCTTAAACATGTGTGAAAAAAGAAAAGCCGCTAAATTAAAAGCTCTAAATAATCCTAGCGAAGACAATCTGGAATACTTCCGAATCTCAAAGAACGAAACGACAAAATTGCTCAAAAATAAAAAAAGGGAGTATCTTAAAAATAAAATAATTGAAATAGAAACTAATAGAATCGAAAATAACGTAAGAGACATGTACAAAGGTATAAACAGATCACGTAAATATGTAGGGCCCGTAACGTCTGGAATTAGGGATGATAATAACAATATTCTGACCGATCCGGTTGACATATTGAATAAGTTTAAGGACCACTTTGACAGTATTTTAAATACGGGAAATTATGATCTGTGTCCTCCTTCTGAGTACCAGAGTGCTGAACCGTTAATAGAAGGACCAAGTAAAGAGGAAGTTGAAGTAGCTATCGGAAAATTAAAATCATATAAAGCAGCGGGAATCGATAATATTCCTACTGAACTAATTAAGGCATGCGGGGAAGCTGGAGTTTCTAAAATACATCGGTTGGTTAAAAAAATCTGGGTGAACGAGAAATTACCTGAAGAATGGAAAGAATCTATTCTTATTCCGATTCACAAAAAGGGTCCGAGGACGGATTGTAATAACTATCGAGGAATTTCACTCCTTCCGGTATGTTATAAAATATTCACTTTAATCTTAACCAGTCGAATCACGGAATACGCCGAGGAAATTATCGGAGACTACCAATGCGGATTTAGACGGAATCGTTCGACTATTGATCAAATATTTTCTTTACGGCAAATATTAGAGAAAAAATTGGAGTATAACGGTATTGTTCACCAGCTGTATATAGATTTTAAAAAGGCTTACGATTCTATTGACCGCCAGAAACTGTATAATATTCTAATCGAGCAGAGGATTCCAAAAAAACTAGTAAATCTAGTCAGGATGTGCTTGACGGAGACACTCAATAAAGTTAGAATCGGTAATAATTTGTCCGAAAAATTTGAGGTTCGTTCGGGCTTAAAACAGGGGGATTCTCTTTCGCCTGTCCTGTTCAATTTGGCATTAGAACATGCCATTAGGGAGGTAATGCGAACCGAGAAAGGGTTGGATCTGGGTGGGACAACATCCGTGCTGGGCTGTGCTGATGATCTGGTACTGTTAAGCGAAGACGTTGAAACTATAAAACTAAATACGACCACGTTAATGAAAGCCGGTAAAGAACTAGGACTCGAAATAAACGTGGATAAAACAAAATACATGGTTAGCTGCAAAAATGGCGATACTACTGGTGATATCGATATAGATGGTAATATGTTTGAACAGGTAGATAAATTTAGGTATCTAGGTTCTACGATAACTAGAAAAAACGAAATTGAAGAAGAGATTAAGGTTAGACTGAAGGCGGGGAATGCTTGTTATTTTTCTGTGACAAAACTACTTAGTTCGTGCCTCTTGTCCCGAAACTTAAAAATTAGAATCTATAAAACAATTATCTTGCCTACAGTTCTTTATGGATGCGAAACTTGGCCGCTTACATTAAGGGATGAGCAGCGTCTTAAGGTTTTTGAAAAAAAAGTATTGCGTAGAATATTCGGATCGAAGAAGGATGAGTTAACCGGAGAGTTCAGACGGTTACACCACGCCGAATTGCGTGAGCTGTATCCAGGTAATATAATTGAGGTAATTTCATCGCGGCGAATCAAATGGGCTTGTAAAGTTGTTGGGCTTAGTAACGAGAGAATTCCTAAAAGGTTAATATTTGCTGTGCCGAATGGTAAGCGTCCGAGGGGTAGACCGAAGCGAAGGTGGGAAGATTGCATTAAAGCCGATCTGAAGGGACTGGGTTTGGACGGCGAACGGTGGAGGGAGGTGTGTAACAAGCGATTGGTGGTGTCGGCATCGAACCTTCGGGTTCGCTAAGCCTTATTATTATTTTATTATTATTATTATTTTGGAATGACAAACACTGGCGGTAATATTGTATTTAACGTATGTTATAAAAACATGAACTCTTATTCGCTATTATTAAAAAAAAAAAAAAAAAAAAAAAAAAAATACAGCCATTACACTATCAACACAACAAAACATTACTCTTGCTGTGGTTTATTGCCCTCCGAGGTATTTTCTGACACCCACGATGTTTAGTAATTTCTTTAAACGTCTTGGTAGATGCTTTATTGCAGGAGGTGAATACAATGCCAAAGATCAATTCTGGAGATCCAGACTATTTACTCCAAGAGAAAGGAATCTTAGGTATGTTCTTTATGAGCTTTCATTAGACACTTGGCCTACACATCACCTAATTCACCCACGTACTGGCCAACTTCTAGACGGAAAAATCCAGACTTACTTGATTTTTTCATAACTGAAGGACTCCGAACAACACCTCACACCATAACAACGAGTTCAGATCTTTGCTCTGATCATTCCCTTTTGTATTTGGTATTGTTTGAAGAGCCTTGCGAAGCTACAAAAAAACTGTCCCTGATCAATGGCATAATGGATTGGGACAGGTACAAGAACCAATTGGACACTGCTCTCTCTGTTCCTCTATCCATTAAAACGAAATATTCAAGAAGCCGAATGGCCTTCATCAGTAGCAAAACCTCAAAAATATGAGTTCCTACCAATGCACCCACAATACATAAGGGACTTGATCAGAGCGAAGAGGAGAGTTCGCAAAATATGGCAGACTGACAGACTCCCATCAGATAAACGAATTTACAACAGACTTAATAATGAACTCAAGCGACAGATTGGAAAATTCAAACGAACAATCTATGACAACTACATCAGAAATCTCTCAACCGACGATGGAAGCTTGTGGAGACGTACCAAAAACCTTATTAAGCATCGTGAAGTGTCAGCACCCCTTCGAAGAGAAGATGATTCCTGGGCCGTGACGGACGGAGAAAAATCAGAACTGCCGAATATCTTTCTTCTGTTTTTGTACCACACACAGACTTCACTAACACTGTGCATGATAACAATGTACTAAACACTTTAGACGTGCCCTTACAACTAACTTCACCTCCTATTTCATTCACACCTTCTCAGATTGCTGAACAAATCAAAAAGTTGCCTAAAAGAAAAGCTCCTGGACATGACTTAATTAACGCTGAAGTGCTCCAACAAATGCCTAGAAAAGCTCTAGTGCTTTTGACAACTATTTATAATGCAATACTGAGGACAACTAAATTTTCACTACAGTGGAAATACTCACATATAATAATGATTCACAAGCCTAACAAGGACAAAAACTCACCTTCCTCATACCGACCAATCAGCTTAATACCTATCTATTCCAAAATTTTTGAAAGCTTACTGAACAAAAGACTTCTTGATATACTAACAAACACCCAAATAATACCTGACCATCAATTTGGATTTAGGGCACATCACTCAACTGTACACCAACGACATAGAGTAACGGATTACATATCTACAGCACTAGAGCAGAAAGTATATGCAACTGGCGTATTTCTGGATGTTGCTCAAGCGTTTGACAGAGTTTGGCACCAGGGTCTTCTCTTTAAACTCAAGACAATACTCCCACCTACATATTATCTAATTCTACAATCCTTCCTTTCCGATAAATTTTTCTCGGTCCGACACGGGTCAGAACTATCTTCCATCAGGTCTATCTCAGCAGGAGTACCTCAAGTTCAGTACTCGCTCCACTACTCTATATCACATACACCTATGACATACCTTGTAGTCCCAACATTTTAACAGCGACATATGCAGACGACACAGCAATTTTAGCAAGACACAAAAATCCAACATACGCCTCACAGACCCTACAACAGTATTTATCAAGATTACATGACTGGTTCAAAATTTGGAAAATCCGACTAAATCAAGACAAATAAATCACAGCACATCACATTTACGCTTCGACATGAAACATGCCCTCCAGTTTTCCTTGACAATACACAGATTCCACAGACAGACACTGTTCACTACCTTGGTCTGACTTTTGACAGAAAAATGACGTGGGGCCCACATATAATCGAAAAACTTTAAATCAAAGATTAAGAATTCTGAGTTCACTTCTTTCGAAAAATTCAAAACTAAAACTTAGACAGAAATTGAACACATACAATTACTTACTAAAACCTATTTGGACTTACGCATCACAGATATTTGGAACTGCTAAAACTCACTTAAACAAACTTCAAATCTTCCAGCAAAAACATTCAGAACAATTACAAAAGCACCTTGGTACGTTAGCAACATAACCTTACATACTGACCTCCATATGCTGACTGTTAACGAACACATACGTACTCATTACAAACGATTCCATGACAACTTACAAGGACATCCTAATACCACCTAATACACTAATAAATGACATGGCCACTACGAATATGCCAGGTAACGTCTGTAGAAGACTGAAGAGGAGCTGGATGAGGGACCTCCTCGCCTGATCCTCCTCATGCCTTTCATGACATTATATTTAGCAGCAATCGATCTCACATTCACTGGTTGTCATTACCATTATGACAGGTGTGAATAAAACATTAAAGCTAAAAAAAAAAAAAAAAAAAAAAAAAAAAAAATTAAAAGATTAATTTTAAAACTTTAAAAGATGAATTTAAAAAAATTGTTCGGGAAAATGCATATTTTCCGCTCTGGTACTTTTTTTTTGTTAATTGATGGGTTCTATTCAAAAGATAAAGTTAATCGATATTTTCGAGAAACAACTATAGTATCCAAATTCTAGAGAGTTTAAGTAAAATGTCCGGCAGATTTTGTGGGGCCTAACTTTAGTATTCACTCTACAATTATTTTTACGGAAAATGTGACGAAGAACCTATTCAAAAATATGGTTTTACTCATTTATGAAACATTTTTCCTCGACTAAGCGAAGCGATGGTTATGTGTTTGGGTTGTCCGCCAAAAGCTACGTAAGGCTATTTTGACCGAACAGTTGGGTCGATTTTTAAGTTTGATGGATCAAATTTTATGGTGAGAACACCTGAGTGTTTTTAAACAATTTGAGCTAAACATACTGAACCTTGATTAAATAAAATGTGTTTAATCAATTTGAAAAAAGCTACCAGCAAAGAAAAGGCGAGAATCAATAAGGTATGCATCAAAATTAAAGTCAATCACCAAAGCCAAAAACCTTTGAACCTTTAAGAAAAGCTTTTCACAAGTTAGTGGTGACTGCGTAGATTTTGGGGATGCGTGTAAACCAAGAGAAGATCAAGTGATTGCGAAAGCTAGGCCTGGAGCACCAACAGCGGAGCGATAGCTAATGGCGATGTCTACTCACATTTCAGAACCTCGACCAATGTGTACCTGTAGTCAGTCATGAGATGTGGAAACAGGATTTCCTTTTAAGCCAGTAGACTTATCAAATTTTCTATAGGTCTTCGAAAGAACCCGAAAAGTTCCTATCTCTCCTGCCGTTCTAAAATTAGTAAATAATATGATGAGTTTTCCCTTTGAGAAATCATAACATTATGATGAAATGATGGCTATGAAAATCTTGTAATTTCATTTTAGTAAACCTTACAATGGAAAATAATAGTTTAATCATTAATAATCGTACAGTCCATAATCATTTATAAGTTAAATACAGATATATATTTTCAAATCTCTCTAGGCATATATATTGTATATTGCTCAGACACTGGATTGTGTGATTTAGAAAACAGATAGGAGTAACGAGGTTTTTCTTGCCTACCGTTGAAATAATTAATAAGGTTTTTGTTATCTTAGTGGTGTTAATAATTTGTTAGCTGTAAGCACAGGCGGATCTACGGGGGAGGGGGAAGAGCTTTTGGGCAGAAGCCCCCTTTCCCCCAAAATGGTAAAATATAATCATGTTTTTGAGAAAAAAATATTTAAAACTATCTCTTAAAGTATTCTTGTTCGTTTAATTACATTTAATAGGAATTCAAGAACCACTTAAACACCATTTCATATAGATAGTTAATTTCTTTCTTTTTTTTCAAATTAATTATCATTATATGTATTTGAAAAAAAAATCTTTCGGGCTGAAGCCCCCCCATAATTAAATCCTGGATCCGCGAGTGGCTGTAAACTGTAAATTTTAGCCCCGTTAAAAATGCACTTAAAAAATTGTATAATAGCCCAACTTTGCCAGAATAATTTCTATTCAAAGTAGAGCGGTAAGTGAAAGTTGTGTGTTGCGCGCACCATATGTTGTCTTAAACTTTTTATTTACAAACATTTTTAAACCTACAAACAAATATTTTATTTATTATAACCATTTCTAACTACGATACAATAAAAAAAATTAATAAATGGAAACCCACCTATGTACTAATAAGTTATAACTAATAACCTAAGAATGTGCAGTAAGTAGAATCCCATTTAGGTTCTAATCAATATTTATATTATTAATCTTATTATAATGAATTATAGAGAAGAGAGATTTTTGTTAGGATTGAGGACAACGAAAGAGCGAAGTTGACAGCAGCAGGCCAACTACACCAGACTGAATAAATTATTTCAGAGACCTTGGCCCTTATCGAAAAATATTTTAGCTTTTAAAGTGCATTAAGCTGAGTAGGTCCAATCGCCACGAGTGTGACCGAATACCACTTTTAGTGTTGCCCTGCAGGTGTCACACGCCATGTATTATTGCAGAGATGATCAAACACTCAAATTGATGCTAGCGGTAATGCACTATTAAATAAATAAAACTGGGTGATGTCAGGGTAATCTTAAATTAGTTTTAAAATATTTTCGGTAGACCACAAGTTTTCAAAAACTGCAAAACTTTGGAAGATAACTGTAAGCAGCCGAACCAACCACTCTTTAGCTGGAAGCAAACTGTGACATCTGGACGTCTAGACGCCCAAACTGTCAAAATCTTGAGCAACATGTCTTCCTTTGCATAACGTCTTCGTTTCGGTTCAAGAGAATTTAGACCTTTGGTCTTTTGTCTCGCAACAGGCCTATAGACGGGAATTGTTCTATAGACATGTCTACATAGACAAACAGAGACATGTCTCAAAGACCAAAATCCAGAGATATTTCGTTGGTGGGGTGACCGAACGGGCTAACGCGTGTGAAAATAATCAACTCGAATAACTGAAGCCATTGCGATAAAATAAGAGCTTTTAACTCTGGCATTAACTCCTACTCTCTTCCCTAGTCCGAGGGAAAAAAAAAACTATATACAGAGGAAAAAAAGTATCAGAAATGATTTTTCGTATATTTTAAGATACATTCGAAAAAAAAATGGATTTAAAATATATTCTGTTGTTGCTCCATATTTCTAAATAGCAGAATCATTTTCGATAAAATTTAAGAATTAGATCAAAATCTTGAGGATGACATATACACACGACTTTCTTGCTAATTTGAGACAAATTTAATTACTTCAAAATTTTCAAATAAAATAATTCTAATTGAAAATCTAAAGTCATTTAATTATTAAAAGTGATCTGACTACAATAGTTTATTTTATCGATACGAAAAGAACAACACTTTAAGGAATTTCACTTTTGTACATTAATATTTTGCACAACTATGTTTATCCTGGAACTCATTACATATTATACATTTGGAATTAGTATACAAAAATCTGTAGATGTATCTTTCCAAAACAACCCTTAATCTTTTGGCTGTCAAATATTTATTCACACCATTAACTGAAAAATGCCATATCTTATAAACCTGTTTGTCATTTAATTGAAAATATATAATTTTATTGTTTTAATGCCCAAGCTGCCTATATTATAGTCTTCCTTATTTATTTAATTTTGTAAACGTCCTAATAATAATTCATAGATTATATAGATGTTTAGATAAGTGGATAAATGATGAAAATAAATAAATGACACTTATAAGTTATAACTGAAATATATGACAATTAGAGATAGGCTAACCTAAATGTTATTATTATTTAAGACGAGACGAGAGGTTTACGATGAGACTGTTAAGCTGACGGTGCCAGGCGGGCCTCCTGACCTGAGGCACGCAGTATTCGATGTCCTCGAAGAAATAGGATCAACAAGAATATCATGTCAGCCTAAGATGGAATATCGTTTCCAATGTTAGCTTCAGTTTAGCCTACTTCTCTAACAGAACTTCCTACGATTTTACAATGATTCTGTATTTATATCATTATCCTAAGTACCAAATCACCCTAAAAATTCATTTCATTATTCATATATTATTTTAAAATCACGGCTAATAAATTAATCTTCAATCGTCACACATTAAAAAATTTTCCCTATCGCAATACTTACCCTTACTATATATTACATATATACGTAAGTGAAAGTAAAAATATTTTAAAATCGCGATATATCTACTAATAGTGCTTCGATTTCGATGAAACTTCTTTCATTTTTTTAAAGAAATTTAAATACCTTTGAAACAACTTATCACAATATCACCAAAATACTGTATACTTTTTGAGTTATTCTTAATTTAATTTTACCATCTCTCGCTACTTTTTTTCCACATTCTTTTCGTTGAAGTATGTTATATAGATAAATTTAAAGGGTGTCTAGAAAATGACTTTAGCGAAGTTTCATTGAAGACGGTACATTCGTTTAGGCGCTACAGTCTATAGCAACGTAGGTTTTTCTGCATTTTTATATTTTTTTTTCTCCTTTATTAACTTATCAAATTCTTTCAAAACTTATATTTAGCATTTTTTCGTAACTCTGAATAATGTGAAATGATAATTTTATAAATATAAACCATATTAAAGGTACTTTAGAGTAAGACGTATATGAACATTGGGCATTTAAGCCCTGTAAAGTAACATCAATGGGAATAAGACCTAATTCATATTAAAGACCACTTAATTATACAATGATACACCGAGTTTAATCAAAATCGTTAGAGCCGTTTATGAGAAAATTGTGAAAATGTGTTTCATCGTTGATATAAAGTATATGAATAGAAAAAATAAACAAATATTTATACAGAAGGTTTTGAATAATTTTATGACTGATAGGGACTGAAAAAACACGATGTGAATTAACATTTTAACTAATCTGGTGTTATTTCGCCATTTTTAAACAACATTTAATTATTACGGATGATGAGCTAGATAAAAAAATATATTTTATCTTTATTTTTAAAACTTTAAAATATATAATAAATAAAATTAACAATGTTTTATGATATTTTTAATTATCGTATTTTGCGTACTATTGACCATAAAAAGTCACAACTTATTTTCTCCAATAATGAAAGAGTATTAGATATTTAAATGACAATAATAATTATTTATTATTGACAATAAAATGAAAATAGCTATTATTGTAATTTTCGACTGTAATTTGAATTTTAGATTATTTAAGGAATAAATAAGGCCGTAATTAATACTTATCAATCATTAAACAACCTGAAACGAATTAACTATTATTTTTTATGTATATTGGATGAATATAATTCAATTAAATGGATGATAAACATTAAAACATGAATGAAAGTCATATGTTTTTTTGTTGAACAGTAGAGCCGTCGTATCGTGTCGTGACGAATCCAGTGTAACCACGGCCTAAGGCATATACCTATCTTAAATACGTAATATCACTTTCCTAGGACTTTTCGTTTTGAGCTAGACTGCTAACATACAAACCCACAGACTATTTTTCGGGACTTGGTTATTTGGACTCAGGGTATCCTAAAACGTGTATTTGCGTTGAAAACTAAGATTAAAAAATTTTCTCGATCGCAATACTTACTCTTACTATATATTATATATATACGTAAGTGAAAGTAAAAATGGACAAGGTCATAAAAGTATGGCAGTATTTTTTGCTGAAATGTACATTTCTCACGTTATAGTTCATCTTTATACATTGTATTTACTATACTTGAGATCTGCTTCATCAACAATACCGATCTAAATGAAGGACATTATCAAGTAAAGTCGAACAAAACACTGGCCTCGGATTAATAGCTGTACTACAACGTAGTAGTTTAAAAATAGTTTTATATCTTAATCGAGACAGTATTTTGTCGAAGATATTGCTGAAGTTATGATACACAACTGTTGGGCCTATTCAGAGTTGGAAGTAGCAAGGGGCTTAAATTCAGAGAGCCAAACATTTCAAACGAAATTATTTTATAACTTAAGATAAAAATTTTTTGTTTTTTGCTCTTTTGTTGTTTTGACTTTAGTTCAGTCAATCAAATGAGTTGGAGTTATGTAATAACAATTTCAAAATATATTAGCTAAAATATTGTTACAAAATGTTGACTCCTATTCTAGAGGGGGAGGGGGAAGGAAAGAGATGAATGAAATTACGGGAAAAAATATGTTTGTCCTGGTAAAAGTTCTGGTTTTTGCCCTGGACATATTAAAGTGATATAA